AAACCGTCGGAAAGCCGTCGGAATAGGGCTTATTCCGACGGCTTTCCGACGGATTTGACCGTCGGAATTTTGCCTGTTTTTTTGTAGTGATATTCTTTTGCTTAATTGATTCGTACAACTCACTAGCTTTTAGATCGTCTATTTTCTTCGTTTTTTGTTGATGTGTGTCGTTCGTATCAATTCAAGCAAATATGATTCTTCTCCGGTCTCTTGTGTGTACACAAAAAAAAAATTAATTAGTTAAAATTAAACAATTAGGAAAGAATTTGAATAACCATTTCATAAGCAATTACCATTTCATATGCTACACGTTGAGGTGACTTCGCTTCCAAATTATGAGTCGCAATCCCTTTTCCGTCTCGCTCGCTCTTATGGTTCTTTGAGTTTGTCTCGGAAGTGGACATGGTCGATTCCAATTGCCAATAAAGTACTAAATCATCCCAAATATTTGGGTTCATCCCCTTTGCAATTCCTTTCTTAAGAACCCACCTTTGCCCCCACTCGTACAGTGGCCGCTAAAAGAGGTTCTCGCCTGTTTGTCAAAGGCAATGCGCACCTTTGCCGTGATTGATGGTTCCCATGTAAACACTTGCTACAAATAAAAAAATGTTAAAACATAAAACACCACTAACAAATTTGAAAAAAAAGTTTATCCGAAAATAATTCTATTAACACATCACGTTTAATTTCAAGCGAGTTGCAATTAAATCCAGAAATCAAGCTAAGTCGCATGCTTAAGAAATCTAATACTGTTAGCGTAAAGTAAGGACCATCACGATGCTTTATACATGTCAAGTTTTTCGGAAAATGATTGTTACCGCAGAAGTGGCAAACCACAAGTCCTGTGTCTCGATCAGAAGGTTGGAATACGTGTAGTACCCCTTTGTAAGTTGGTTATAAAGCATCGTAGTTATAGTATTCGTGATATCATTCTTTAACCCGAACCTTAAAACCATTGGAAAAGAAGTCAAACTTGTGAAAAGCGTAAGTGAATAACGTTTGATTTGAAAAATTAATTTCTAAGTCTTACCAAGTTGTGTTACGTTCAAAGTCTGGGGAAAGACAAACACAATGGCTTCGGCCAGGCTGCCACAGCAACGAGTCAATATCGAGTTGTTGTGGGACAGATGGTTGTGTCTCGGGAATGGAAATGCTGCCTCCTGATGGCTGTGCTGATGGCGTGGCCATCGTGGATCCGGTCTGTCGTCCTCGACCAGAACGCACAGCCTCAAATCTCTCTCGTGACCTATTACAAAAACATTACGAATGTATCAAAGTTATTCACCGCTTAAAAGTTTCCATATGATAAACAAGACAAAAGAAAAGTTTTACAAAACTCATTTCTATATAAAAGAAGATTAAATCTTTAGCACATCTAGCAAATCAACAAAAATATAATCCATTAAGAAAACACGTCTTGTTTTACTAGTACATATATAATCTACCAAATCCTAGCAAATCTAAACAATTTTCTACAAGTAATTACAAACAAAAACGAGTTTATACAAATCTAAACAAAAACTAATTTTCTACAAGTAATGTAGGGGTCGGATTCCACTCCGGTAAGATCAAAGTTGGAAAATGACTAAGTATGGAAACATGGTCGGAAAAGACTAGGCGAACCCAGTTATCCAATGTCTAGCGAGGCGGATAGCACGATGGTGCTACCAGAATGTCAAGACTGGAGCGTTAAGCCCGACCGAGTCCAGGAACATTACCGGGCGGGAAAGACAGATTCACAATGGAGAAGAAAGCTGACATAACCAAGAAGCCCACAACGTGACAAGGCGGGCTGAGCCCAAGACATAGCAAGATGGGCCGAGCATGTCAGTGCAGCCTACTTGGTGTAGCCGACTTCTAGGAAAGGAAATTCCAAAGGGATAAGAAAAACTTCATGTTTTTTCTAGGGTTGATCCAGCCGACCTAATTTACTATATCTGCTAATGTAACTCCCTTGAGAAAGGGATCAGTAATTTTATTCTATATAAACTCTGATATTCTTAAACTTTAGCAGAAACAGCAATAAAAACTCATCTTCAACCTCTTGTTCTGTGATTTCGCATTTGGAAGACTCAGTAGTCCTTCAACCCTGGAAAAATACTAACTGTGGTGATTCTACCCTCCATAGTTTGGCGCTGTCTAAGGGGAGAGCGAATTCAACTTGGTGGATTCGACGCGGTTAGGCGGTGACGAGGTTATGTTGAATTCACCTTGGTGGACTCGACGTGGTACGGGGACGACGAGGTGAGGTTGAATTCACCTTGGCGAACTCGACGCGGTTAGGCGACGACGAGGTGAGAGCAAATTTACCTTGATGGACTCGACGTGGTAAGGCAATGACGAGGTGAGGTTGAATTCACCTTGGCGAATTCGACGCGGTTAGGCAGCGACGAGGTGGTCTCGCGTTGACGACGCCGAGGCCATTGTTGACGACGAGTTGGTAGATTGAGATCCGTCGAGCTCGACAAACAGTTTTTCGTAGGAGTAT